GAGAGAGAGAAATGTGTCAATAGGTTTTTAAAAGAAGTTTCGTAACCAAATTGGATAATAATTAGAATTTACAGAAACAGTTTCCCGTTCTGAGGGAATCAAACCTGCCAAGACCTGTACAGGAGATGTCTTTTCAATTTGGAGTTTTTCAAAAGACATTACTCTTAATAATATTTTAAAAATATCATTACTACTGTTAGAAACAGCATAGTAGCACTCATTCAGACGTTGCACCATTTGAAAAAAAGAGGTGCACTATTTCTTATGGAAAGTTTCCATGAGAAACATTTCCTTCTGTGGCCCCTAATAGCATTTCAACCACTTGTATGAACATGCTGGAGGTCATATACTTGTTTTTAGGCAGGAAAAATTTAAGAAACCTAGGTGTAGAAACCAAAAGTCTACTGTATAATGAATGTGACTTCTTGTCTTCTGTTCAGTGGACACCAAAAATAAAGTACTGTAACACTGAACCAGAAAGAATGACTGATGTGGAACTTAATGGTAGAGTCAGAAGGACTTGATCATATGGTATTTTCGAAAGAAAGTGTGACACCCTCTCATGCCGCAGAAAGACTCAGCAAAAATTCTTTTAATATCTTTGCAATCAGGAGAAAAAAAAGTCAAAATCTACTGAATACTGCTACAGTCCTTTTATATGTTAATTCAACATCCCTCCCCCCCCCGAAATAGTATGATTGGCAAGCCCTGGTAAAAGAAAGACACAGTCACATATAAATTTAACTGTGATTGGAAGATGGAGCTGTCAGTTGCAAGTTCTCTCCTCCCCAGCTCTTCTTATTATGGTGTTGACCTTATATGGACAGCAGTGGGGTGAAATGTGTCAACTTAAGAGATGCCCTTTGTGCCTCTAGCCATATCCCAGTCCAATTTACTAATGAATCTACAGAAGTGTAAAGATTCAGAAGCAGCCTACTTCAGATGAGATTCCCCAGTTCAGATTCATTGCCTAAATCTGCACAGATCAGCCCAATTCCTTTCTGCATTTGGGATTTATCTGAACCCAAAATGCACTCCTCATACTCACAATGAACGTTTCTCATGATCACACCTGTGACTGTTTCATGACAATGGTCAAGAGAGGTGGAATATTATTGTATTTCACAACAATGCACCTCTCCTGACTTAGCACTCTGCATATATAGATGATATACCTGCCGGGTTTCAGCAGGTATTTTTTTGAGGGACATGGTGGCGCTGTGGGCTAAACTGCAGAAGCCTGTGCTGCAGGGTCAGAAGACCAGCAGTTGTAAGATCGAATCCACGCGACGGAGTGAGCGCCCGTCGCTTTGTCCCAGCTCCTGCCAACCTAGCAGTTGGAAAGCATGTAAAAATGCAAGGAGATAAATAGGGACCACCTCGGTGGGAAGGTAAAATGGCGTTCCCTAGTTACGCTGGCAAGGTGGCAATGGAAACTATCCGGATAAGCACTGGCTCTACGGCTTGAAAAACAGGATGAGTACCGCCCCCTAGAGTCGGACACGACTGGACTAAAAATGTCAAGGGGAGCCTTTACCTTTACCTATATATAGAATAGAGGCAGGCCTCTGTGCTTCAAATAACTACATTCTGTGCTGGGACCCTAAGGTCCCAAGGAAGAAAATAGCATCCAAAAATAATGGAGGTTCCTCTGGAAAGTAGTTGCCACCGGCTACCCAAAGGAGTGTTACAGCCAGGTGACCCAAACTTTGCATCCCCAAGGAGGGTAGAATACAATAGGACATGGTAGCAAACTAACTCTACCAATGTTCTTGTTGTTGTTGTTGTTGTTGTTGTTGTTGTTTTGTCGTTTAGTCCTGTCCAACTCTTCGTGTCTGCATCTGAGTGACAGAGCTTTCAAGGTATGCAGGCTATTTAAGGAGTGGCTTTATCATTACCACCATCCCACTAGTGAGTTTCCATGACTAAGTAGGGATTTGAACCCAGGTCTCCTTCAGCCTAGTGCATTACTCTATCCCCTATGACACACTAGTGGCTCTCATTTTAATTAATCGGTCACTGTATTACTAAAGTGACAGTGAGGTCTTTTCCAGGAACACAGTTGATGATACAGGACGGAGCAATGAAAATTAGAGACGTCGATGTTAAGGAAAGAGTATAAGTGATGGCCCAGAAATATTCCCTAGGCAAGTGGTTAAACAGCTTTCCAGGCGCCTCTTTGTTTGATGCTAGAGAGCCTACGATCAAAGGAAGCAGGGAGGTCTGAATGGCTTGAAGTGAATTTCCCTGCTAAAAGAGGACAGGACTGAGGAGCAATTCCTGACACAGGTAAGAAGGGAGAAAAGGGTCGGTGAGTTCCCAAATGGCTGATGTATGAGCCAATCTTAAAGAGGATAACAAAGAGGAAATGAGGGTGGCTTGCCAAATACAAGGGAAGAACTGTTCTGAGCCTTCCAAAACTCCACCCACAGATGCTCTAGGCTGGCATTTTAAAGACAAACAACTCTCAAGAAAATTGGCAAGGATGGGCATATTCTCCACACAACTGACAAGGAAGTCTATGTTCAACTGAGCCAATGGCTCTGGCAGCTGAAGCCTCGTCTCCTTGAGCATAGTTTGAATGCCTTGAATTCCATGTTTTGAGTTCCTGTGGAAAGGTTGTCCTCTAATTTTGTACGTATCTAGACCAAACACAGGGAGGAGGAGGAGGAGGAGGGGGGAGGAGGAGGAAGGCAGAATGAATGCTGGGGAATTCCTTCCTGAACCAGGCAGACATAATTGTGGAAGCATTATGGCTATAATTGCATCCTGACAATTACAACCCTAATGCTTCAGATAAGAATGCCTAAGAAAGGGAGAGATGAAGGCGCATCCTCTTTCTGTACGTATTTTGTCAAACTACAAGAAAGGGCTATTTTAAAAATAATTTGGCAAATGCAATTTACTGCTGCATTTTCTAGCCTATAAATAAACGGTCCTGGTTAAAGGCAATGTCTGGGATGAAAAGAAAGCATTCAGTTTGCTTTGCAACACTGTTTTGTGTGGATCAGTCTAGCTGATCCACAGCGTTGTGCAAAAACAGTGATACACGATGCTCGTACACTTAAGAGAAAATTACTCTTAAGACCATGTTGCATGGTTCCCACCAATGGTTTTACAGCCACCATTACTGTGTGCTGAATTTGTATGCAATAAAAGTTTTAACCCACAGATGTCTGTGTTTTGCTATGCACTAACGCTGGCATGTTCAATTTATACTTGCTCAAAAGCTCTGTGGAAGAGTTTCTGCCCCTCTTCTGAATAAATGGGTAAGGAAAAAGGGATCAAGATCTTCTTCTTTTTTTTACCAAACTTTTTGTACTGCTGCTTCAACAAGGTTCCCATCCTTCTGATTTGATTTGGTTTAATCTGAAGGACTGTAATGTTTAGAGTGGAGGGGGTAGAGAGGTAAAAGGGAAGGAACCATCTGCTGTACACCTCACCAGTGTGGTCTGCACCACACACTTGTGGCAAAACATTCTGTGCATCTTCTAAAACAGATTGTCCATGAGTCATGGACAGGTTGGGCACACTGGCATCTTGTGGCTTCCAAGAATGAACATCTACAAGATCTCTTGTCTCCCTTCCCTCCCTTTTTTCAAAGTTCAGACAAGCTCTTAAAAATAATACCTGGTAGATATGCAAGCAGTCAACAAATTCAAATGCAGTTAGTAATTTACTTTATGGCTCCTCCCACAATCTCAGCCCACCTGAATGAATGAATGAATGAATGAATGAATAATACTAATACAATCTAAAACACAGTGCACCCCCATATCCACGGGACCCTTTGGAGCAATACTTTTATTATGAACCTTCTTTCCAAAATTGTATTGATTGTTGCTTAGAGGCTTTCCCCTTTCCTTTCACTAATACAAATTCAATAAATCTACCCCAAATAGCTTAAAAATATTTAAACTTACTTCCCCTCTTTTCATCTTAAGTTCAGTAGTCAATTTATCATTTTACGCAATGTCCCATACTTCATTATACCAATCTTCTAATTTAAAATCATTTTTATCTATCCAGAATCTAGCTATTAATATTCTAGCATTTGTCATAAAATTAGAAATCAATTCCTTTGAGCAATAATCAAGTTCTTATCTTATCAAAAATTGACAGCAAAGTAATTTTAGAATTAAGTTTCATATCTTTTCCAAATATATCACATATTTCCTTAAAAATCAATTTCCAAAATTTCTGAATCAATTTACACTCGCACCACATATGATAATACGTGCCAATTTCTTCATCACATTTCCAACAGGCCTCAGAATAGTCTGAATTTATTATGTTCAATTTCACCGACATCATGTACCACCTTAAACTAATTTTATTTTTTTCCTTTATTCTTACCGACATTAATCTTAAAATTCTCATCTTCCAAATTTTTGTCCAGTCCTGTTTTAATTTCTGTCTTTAAATCATGTTCCCAAATTGATTTCAAACCTTCTATTTCCATCTCTTTTTCTTCTTGTTCCAAAATTAGGTTACAAATTCTACTTACTACCTTCCTCAAAGCATCTTTCTGCATGTCTTCATGTGATGATAAAAATTGTTCATACTTAGTACATTCTCTACATTTATTTATTTTTTTACCTGCTCCTGAATTGTTTTCATTAACTCCACCCAAGCATGAAGTCCGTTCAGTTTTGCTTCCAGTTCAGTTTTGTGCAAAAAGCCGTTGTCCAGATCCTGCACAGCACAGCAAGAGAGAGAAAGAACTGATGTTTTGGGATTTGGCTGGATACCGTACAAGGATCTTGCCATTTTGGAATAGGGGGCATCACAACACGCCAGATGGCTTTTGACCTCCCGGGGATGAGGTGGGAGGAGACACCAAATGCTCAAATGTCTACCAAGCGTTCCTACCAAAATGCCCACTTCCTCCTACCCATACCATGGGGCTCCATTAACTGTACAATTTACAAACAAAAAAAAATTGCATAGCTCCCCCTCCTACCCATACCATGGGGCTCCATTAATTGTAGAGTTTACAGACAAAAAAAAAAACAGCATAGCTCTCATATTTCCTTAGGCACCATTTCGACATTCAAACTGCTTTTAACAAAACTGTGCCCCACCACTGGTGGTCTTCCAAGTCTCTATTGGCAAAGAACTCTTCCTGTATCGACTTGAATGTCAAGTACCAGACTCCAAGCGTTCCAGCTTGGCTCATCCCACAGCTCAGAGGGGTGGGTGGGTCAGAAGAGTCCAACACCTTCCCCTCCAGGTCTGCTCGTTGCTTGCGGCCTCTGTGAATGCATCGTCTCCACTTGCTGCTGCATCTGCAAGTCCGTCCTCCAGACTGGAGGATTGTCATGACCTCTTTTCCTACTGCAAGAAAATGGGGCTCTCAGAAGCATGGCTTGCCACATATTTCTTGCTCTGAGGGAAGGATGGTTAGGGCAAAACGCCGAGCTCGAGGTGACCCTGGAGAGCACTCATGCTGCCCCAGGCATTGCCACTGCTGAACACTGGCCTTGATCTTTATATGGAACTTAAGTTTTAAATGGGCTGGCAGGCAGCTGCACAGGAACTGAAGGGTCAGATCATCCCATAAGTCTTAAAATTGCCCCTGCTATTGTCATTAACACAGTAGTAAAGGGGTCTAGGGCACTGGTTCTTAACCTTTGTTACTCAGATGTTTTTGGACTGCAACTCCCAGAAGCCTTCACCATCAGCTCTGCTGGCTGGGGTTTCTGGGAGTTGCAGTTCAAAAACACCTGAGTAACAAAGGTTAAGAACCACTGGTCTAGGGAACAGAAGGTGGATCTGCCCTGTTTGAGGCCACACAACATGGATCCTGCATGCTCTGCAAAGGATTCTGGGTCTCCTCTCTCTCAGGGGCATGCTCTGTCAGTTTACATGGGGGACTTGGACCCAGGTGTCCAATGTTATGGGGAGCATATCTGAGCTGAGGGTCTGTTCAAAGACTCAGCCAGCTCCTTTCTGCAGCTGCGCACACACTTCTGGGAAAGCTATCTTTCAGGCAAGCTCTCCTATTACTATTGATCTCTCTCTGTGTGTGTGGGATTAAGGACTAGGGTTGCCATGTCAATAGTATCCTATTCCCTAAGGCAACCCTGGGGGTCCTTGGCAGATTTGAAGGGGGGAGGGCACAGAATTGAAAACAATTCATCACACACCACCTTATTAGGTTAGTTATGCAACTTATACAATCCTGATTCAGCCTATATTTCTTTCATATTGTGTTTATGGCCATGCCCCCCCCAAAGGGGGAAGGGGTTAAAAATGGCTGCCCTAAAGTTTCAAGGCCCTGTCCTGACATCAAAGGACAAACCCTTGTGATATCACAAGAATGGGATTTTGTAGTGTCACAAGAAGGGACTTTTAGATGCCATAGAGGTTTGGAGAGGGTATGGGGCTACTTTTCAGCCACCTCAGGAATCCAGGTAAATAAGGCTAGAGTCTAACTAAATCCCAGCTAAATCGGTAACATGGGAATCCAGAGCAGAATCCAGGCTTGAGGTGCATACCTGGCTTTCCCTCTGTTTTCCAAAATGCATGTATAATTTCATCAATTGTTCTATTAGAAATTAGGCGGAGTACAGAAGGAAGGAAGCTGGAAGCTGGACTAGCCTACGGAGTCATCATTTAATTATTAGATCAATTAGACTGCTGAATAGCACCAGCACAGTAAACAGAAAATAACTTGCACCTAGGTTTCGATCGGGGGATGAACACATTTCAAAAGAATTTCCAGTTCATAACAGCAGCCTGTCACTGGAAATATTTCCGACGCCCAACCTATTTCATTCCCAGAGTTCTCCACAGCCATAGCTGTCAACTTACATTCAAAGCGGCCTCTCCAGAGGCAGAGCTAAGGCAACTCTGTGGTGGCACAACAGTGTCATTATCGTTTTAAGAACAGGAAAGGCTGGAACATTCAGTTTGTATATAAAACAGTAGGATAATCTTGAACAGACTGGTTATAATTACATAGGTTTGGCCTAGAGACGTTGCAGTTGAATGCCAGCCGAACAATTGTAGGGTGTCTGAGTTCCATTTATAGAAGAATCTCCCTTTTGGATGAATAATGGTCATACTGTACATATTTGAGGTCAAAATGATTATTTAATTGAAAGATGAAAGGCCATGGCTGCTGCATAAAATCAGTAGCCCCGAAATCTGATCACCTCTTCTGGGACACATATACTTGTTGTGTCCATCCCACACTCTTTTACCTGGATTTCACTATACATATTTGAGGTCAAAATGATTATTTAATTGAAAGATGAAAGGCCATGGCTGCTGCATAAAATCAGTAGCCCCGAAATCTGTTCACCTCTTCAGGGACACATATACTGTACTTGTTGTGTCCATCCCACACTCTTTTACCTGGATTTCACTTACTTTGCACACAGTAGTGAGAAGGTTGAGGAAACTATAATAAAGAAGAGGAGGGCTGTCTAAATCTAAATTTAAAATCTGAAAATTTAAACATACAAATAGCGGAGTTGGACAATCCAATTCATTTTCATCTACCTTTCTCATTATTAATGTCTGAAATGTTTTTCAGTTTTTGGAGTCTGTTTAGCCATTCATATGCTGGTCAGATAGCTTATTTGTTTATTAATGTCTGAAATGTTTTTCAGTTTTTGAAGTCTGTTTAGCCATTCATATGTAGCTTATTTGTTTAGGTCTCTGGCTGCGGAGTCAGATCTTGGGAGTTTGATTCCCCTGTGCCTTCTGGGAATAGTAGAACCAGCCTGCGTGGCCTTGGAAAAGGTGCACAGTCCCAGGACACACACACACACCCAAAGAAGGACAGGGTAAACCACTTCTGAGTATTCTCTAAATGGAAAATCCTGAAGAAGGTCACCATAAGTCTGAATTAACTTGATGGCACATGATGATGATGATGATGATTTAATGATTCATATTCCAAAACTTCATTCCAGCTCTAGTGTTTAACTTGATGGCACATGATGATGATGATTTAATGATTCATATCCCAAAACCTCATTCCAGCTCTAGTGAAGGTACTTACAAAAGGAGGGCTGAATGTAGTTTTAAAACTAAACATTTAAAATGCAAAACAATCATTAATTTTAAAAATTACTCGTAGTGTAATGTGTGGCAAGATGAAATACCATCTCACATCTGTTCAGGCAGAGTGTTTAATCATCTCAGGTTTTTTTCAGGCAGACATGCCAGTGGGTGGCCTCTTCCTTTGTTCTCCTCTTTCATGGATTGTCAGTTCCCTGAAAATCTCACCAACCTCTACATTTGGTGGTTTCTGGGTTACATTAAAGCAAAGGGATCCATCCAATGAGATTTTTTAAAAAGACTTTAAGGGTTTCCTCTCTTCTCTGTAAAATTAGGGAAGCTAGACCAACAGGTAATTTGTTTACCAAGGCAGATATAGCTGATCTGCCAACACAGTGCATGGATATGAAACCAAAAAGCATGCTGCCTACTTACCTTTTTGAGTACTGTGAAAGTGAACTCCATCCCTGTGCGCTTGTTTATTTCACTTTCATACCTAAAGGAAGAAAGATATACTGTAGTAGGTATGCATGAAATGACAGAAGGTATTCATTTAACTGTACTGTATATTTTAAGTTCTCTAGACTTGCCACCTTGATCTGCTTAGGAAATGAAATTCACACATACATGTATACATACCCACCCACAAAAACCCCACATCTCTGCCACCTGTTTCCCGATGTGTAAATGTAAGGGGCCATAGCTTGTTGACCTATTGTGTTGTTCAGGTATGTAATCATGAAAGCCTATTCCTATCCACAACAGTTCCCAGAACAATATCAAAATATATGGGAGAAGAAACTTCTGGGAATAGATGACAGAGGAAAACATGACTTCCGTTAAGTCCAGACAAGCTTGGGGGAAAAAATCCCTCTCAGTGTAGTGGACAGCTCACGATCTCAACACACCACCTCAAAGAACACAAGGAATTTCTTTCCAGTTCTCCATTCTTTTTACTGTACTTTTTTAAAAGCCATGTTCAAAAAGTCTGTGACTCAGACTGGGTGACTAGCCCTAGAGCTGATCTATTATTGGCAAGTGCTGCCAGATGGTATGAAACTAGGAGCTACTGGTCAGCAACTAATTAACATCATCTAATTTTTTTGCTGTTTAAATCACTCCATCCCAACATGGTATACCACTCAGCAACTAATTCATCTATTTTTTTTGCTGTTTAAATCACTCCATCCCAACATGGTATACCACCCAGAGTGGTATAAATATACCAGATGGGCGGGATATAAATCAAATAAATAAAAATAAATAAATAACATCTGGGATAGGTATTTTTCCTAGTTCATGCTTTCTAGCTGTTCCAGTTTAGAGGACACTATATTTTCTTCTTATATGAAAAAGCTGCTAATGTGTAGTGAAGTGGTAGCTAGCTAAGCTTAATTTCATTTAAATCATTCTGAATGTTTGCAGCAGCACATATTAGAAAAGCATGTGCTTAACTTGTGAAGAATCTCTCTAAGGTGTGTCAAAATGTATCTGATGGGGCCCAACGATTCTGAGATTAACAAAATTAGATGGATGGGGTGGTGTCCCATTACACCTGAGTTCTCAGAAAATGTTTCATGAGTGTAGGTTTTCAAAACAGGTTTGTTAAGCTGCTAAAGATGGGAGGGGAACTAAGGCTGCTTGGTTTTGTGATGCTGGCAGTCACAAAGATGTTCATGATCCATTTTCTTTTCAATAGGAAGCCACGGGGTGTAGCCTTAGGTGGTGTATAGGTCCCACAGGGCTCCCTGACGCAAGCTCTGAACACAATGGTTGGCATATTAATACTCTAGTGAATACCATTGAATGCATTCATCTTGGTAACACAACACATTGTACAGTATTATCTTATTGACAAAGATTAGCAGCAGAGAGTCATGTGTCACCTTAAAGACTCTCAGATATACTGTGGAATAAACTTTTGCAGACTACAGTCCACTTAGTCAGAAGCGTGGCCTGAAGCTTTGGTTTAGGGTCCATTCTCGACTCTCAGATATACTGTGGAATAAACTTTCGTAGGCTACAGTCCACTTAGTCAGAAGCATAGCCTGAAGCTTTGGTTCAGAAATCTGGACCAGAAAATCTCAGAGAATGACATGCTTCCAACTTGGCAACCCTACAGTTCATTCTCATAGCTTCATGCCAGCTAGACATGTACAGAAGCACCCTTGTCATTTTTTCACCTTGCATGCTTTTGGGCTGCCCGTCCTGGAATTCACACATTGGCCTTGAAATTCTTCATGGGGTCCCTACATTATCCATCTCATGCATTCACCATTCTGTGACATCAGAAGGCCTCCCTTTGAATTCCAGGCTTCCGCTCTGAAGTGTCAGGGAATGGGACTATTGACTTGGCAACCCAAAGTAACAGTACATGTGGTTGTAAGCAGAATGTTGATCCTGAAGTCAGAGTGAAATTAAATAGTGAATGTACTGAGAATGACAATCCGGTTATTAACACTGGTCCTTAGCAAAGTTGTTGGTGACCACACAGATATCCTGGTGATAAGTGGGACAATTAACAAATGCAGTGTGACAAACATTGGTTAACCGATACACACTTCTGAGTTCTTCATACTATAGGTTATCACGATATGAAAGCAGCAGTTTCTTCACACTGTGAAGCAGTGAAGAGTCATATTTCTAATGGAATGTCTGTACTGCTCTCTTCTGATGAAACCACAGATGGTGGGTTATAGGCCTGTGCTTGCTCGCAGGTAACCTCCCAGACTTAAACAAGTGCTCACTAACCCTGATGGGCCTTTCAGCACAGATCCAAATGCAGTGATGAAACCTTGCTATAAATCCAGATCCTGACACTGCACTCACATCTGTTCTGACAACATTCTTACAGGATCTGCCAATGTCATGTACAGCATCAGGGGTTCATTCATTTGTTCGTATTCTAATGTGATCTACAGTGCTCTCTGTCAGCTGTGAGCATTCTACATAGAACACGGAGGGTGTTTCCCATCCCAAATAAAAATAATAAGCAATAATTGTATGCTGTCAAGTCAGTTCTGACTTATGGTGACCCTTTCCAGGGTTTTCTAGGCAGAATATATTCAGATGTGGTTTACTATTCCATTCTCCTGGTGGTGCGGTTTCGGGATCTGGATTTATAACAAGGTTTTATGATGCATCGTGATGAACACATATATGTGACGGTATCATTTGCCCAAGACCAGACAGGGTGGCTCCTCTCTTGGGATGCACATAGGGAATTGAGCTCCCAACCTCTGGCTCCACAGAAACATAACTCACTGAGCTATAAAGCCAGCCATATAAAAAAAGACACTAGTCTGGCATGAAAAATGAAAGTACAGGAGAAAAAAAAACCCAGTAGCGGAACACTTTAATCTTCCAGAACATACTTAGCACTGACTTGGGTGCCTGCTGGGGAGCACAGAAAAAGTCAGAAGTCTATTAGAATGAGAGATGGCTAAATTACATTATATTAGCAAATCTAGTTTTATTGCTGGATGTTTGAATTGGGGTTATGGTTTCTTAGAACACTATACTAATCGACTAGTTATCATAACAGTTTAGACATGGAAAGAGGACACTTTGCTGGCTGACAACACAAAGAAACATCAAAGGTAGATCACAGTGATAAACAGTCAAGTAGAAGTTTGGATTGGACAGCAGGTGCCACAGGTCTTAATTCTTCAGTTATTGCCAGGATATACTATCATGAAGAGTTTAGTTAAGTGAAAGCATCAGTATCGCTGTTATTAATTTTTTGTATTTTATTTTGCTCTGAGCTTAATACTGCACCATCAGCAGCGTGTACTGTGTATTTCTGTGGGCAATGTGTGCGTGGGCACATACACACAGAGAGAGCGAGAGCTATGAACCTCTAAGATTATATTCCGTCCCTCTGAAGAAGTGGGGTGTCAGACATGAAAACACATGCTATAACAAATTTGTTAGTTTTAAAGATGCCACAGATCTCTTAGGTGTTGTGCAGCTAGAGGCTAACACAACCATCTCTTGGGGCAGGGGGGAAATCAAACGTTTGTCTGTGCTGAATTTGAAAGAGAGAAATGTTAGTCGGAGGGACATGGCTATAATGGATTATTAACCACATGACTGTTTTCTTTAGAGGCATTTATAAAATGAGAAAGACACCTCTTGCTCCATGAACCCCCCCATATATTTTAGTTACATTTGATGAGTTCAGGTTTCTGGGAAGAACCAGGAAACTGTCATATGTTTCTTTCTCACTTGTCACGGGTGCAGTTCTGTAACAATGCACAAAATTCAAGGAGACTGACTCCTCTGTAACTGGGTGCACAAGAGGACAAGCATGGCATCTGTTTCTCACAATGGCCAGGCAGGAGGACAACAAGCCAAGTCTCCAGAGGCATGCAGCTTCTACATCACCCATCATTCACTAACAGTAAGCAGTTTTGGACTGCAGCTCCCAGCATCCCCCAGCTTGCATGGTTATTGGCTGGAGGATTCGAGGAGATGTAGTGCAGAAAAGTAAATTTCCCAAGCTGTCCCACTGATAATTATTGTTCTCCCATGAATGTGCCTCAGCCCCATTGGAGTGCTATCATTCTGACAAGCCTCAACACACACACGTTGGAAGGAAATGTTGAGGGAAACACAAAAGCTTGCCTTATGTACCAAGTCCTTCCACCAGGTCACTTCTCTCAGCATTACCTAACTCAGTATTACTGACTGACTGGCAACATCTTTCCAGGGGCCGAGACCAAATCTACATGATAGCATCATACCCTTATTTCCTATTAGGTTCATGCTTCTCCTGTCCTTTTTCAAGCAATGTGGAAATGTCAAATGTTTTTGTCACAGAATGGAAGAGTAATTCCATTTCTGAAGGTGTGATGAATTGAGCACTTCATTGTGTTTATAAGCTTTTTAAAAATGTGCCATGCTGCATTGCCTGTGTGAATTCATCACCATGCATCTGTTCCTGGATATACCTTAATGCACGTTGGTGCTATATGAAAATAGACTGGGGCCATGGACATCCTTGTCCAGTTTTAGTACTGGAACAGGATCCCCAGAGTGTGAGCAGGGATGTGTGAATATTTATCACCTGCTGTCATCACCAAGGTTCTGTTATTGTTCTGACTGGGGTTTGCAGTGAATTGCAAAACTTGACAGAATAAAGTTTGTACATCATGTTTCAAATTTATTTATTTATTAAACTTATATGCCACTCATCTGGAACGTGTCCACACTGGGCGGTTTAGATAAAATATGAAAATAAAATATGAAAATATAAATGTACTAAGAATAAGGCCCAAATTAACAGCAGAATTCAAGATGGAAAAAGGAAAGGAAAAAGAAAGATAGACTAGGTGATGGCTGTAGGGAAGGCCTGCCTGTATAGCCTTGTCTTCAGATTGGCCTTAAAGGCCCTCACCGAGGGGGCCAGGTGGATCTCTACAGGTAAGTTGTTCCAGAGACGATGTATACATTTTCAAAATACACCTTTTCAATTACGAGAATTTTTCAAGCATGTTGTTGTTTTGGAGTGAATCCCATTTATTTCATAAATGTGTGGATTTCTGTGAACCTCAGAAGTATCTCTCCCATCTCTAAGTGGGAGAAGCCTGGAAGATCACAATAATACAACCAAGCAGGAGATATTTATTTGCCATTATGTGAAGAGTATGTTGGAGTGAGTGGTGGGCCTTTGGTCTGATCTAGCATGGCTCTTCTTATTCTGTTTTGTTGCTCAAGCAAGGCAAGGCTCCAGTACATAGTATATGCAGCCTGACCGACCTGCAGTTGCATACTGCCTTGTCAGTTGCAACGCTCCTATTTCCTTCTGTACTTTGAAGGGAACTCTGAGATCTGAATGTGCAGGTCAATTCAAGTAGCTCAAGAGGACAGGTCTCAGCCATTGTCAGCGATGCTCCCAGTTCAAACCATGAAACCCTCGGATCAGCAAATATACATGATACAACCTCAGTGACCATGAAAAAGGACCAACCAACAGAAACAGCCAGCAGCTTAGGGAACATACAACTTTTCCAAAGATGGAATGGGTAGTGACAGAACCTCCTCCACACCCTGGGAGCTACCTATTTCACAAGTCCTCTGACATGGGAGATGGCAGAAATGTTGGTTCTTCTGGTTTTTCCTGCCCTTTGGGCTGGAATGTTTGACTTGCAGCCAGGGCATGCACGTTACGAGTAATTACAGCCTAACTCATCCAAACAAACCTGCTCCCTCTCCATTCCCTCTTATCCTAACTACCTCCTAGGCTCAGCTCCCTCAGAGAGCGAGCTTTCTGTATCACAGGGATCTGACCACGTTTACCTGAGTGGGGAGCAGAGATGGAGCCTGTCTTCCTTCTGGGATTACATCACCCATGGTTTTGACCTGTGGCAAGTGGCTTGCAGAACCCTTGCAATTGGTAGTATCAGGCACGGAGGTGTTGCATTTAGGAGATGACTTAGGTGGAAGGGGAGAGGCTACTTCCTAACTGCAAGAGATGAAATGCTTTACTAAGAATTATGAACTTATCTCCACTGCACACTTCTACCAGCTTGACATAACTTTGCACACACCATGGCCCAGTGCTATGGAATTATGAGATTTGCTGTTCAGCGAGCAGGGCTGCCAAGTCTAAGGTGCCCCAAGAGCCAATTCAAGAAGCACAATTTAGAAGACATTAATTAACCTCTTGGTGTTGCTATTTTTTTTAAAAAAAATCTAAACAAGGATGTTTCACTTGCTTTGGCACCACAATTAAAATTATAGTTGGTGGTTTCTGTTTTTGCTCCTGAGCTCTTAGCATTTTTTTCTTTCTTTTTCCCCTTGAGAAGTTATCAAGTATAATAACAAAAGCCCCATTACTTTGCTTGATGAATGACGATGTCTAGGGAATCTCTTTCTAAGATTCACAGATTATATCGTGGCATATTTCATTTCGTTAAATCTATAATTTTCACACCTCCTAGTTGTACCACTGACTTTGGTTCATTCAGTCTGCACCCACATGTACATTTATTTCAGTATTCAGGTAATATACGGTCCCAGTTTGGGGTGACAGATGTTGGAAAGGACCCTATGGATCATCAAGTCCAGCCTCTATCAAGGAGGCACAGTGGGGGACTGAACTCCTAACTTCTGGCTCCGCAGCCAGAGACATAAACCACTGAGCTATCTAGCAGTCATTTTGTTCTCAGCTGTGAAAATGAATAAAGCTAAGATATACATCCTTTATAACAGACAGATGCAGTACAAAGAAACAAAACTGCCTCCTTCTACTTTCCTCCCTTTCTAGGGAAGGAAAGCAGAAGAATAAGGGAGGTTAGCTGAGAGAACATGTGTGTCTTAAGAAGTCAGTTACAAATGCAGTAATAGGAGAGGAAAAACTGGATGTCAGGTGGAGAGAACTGAAGTGTCAGGAACCTGCAAAAGAAAGGGAATGTAGGTGTGTGGGGGGGGAAAGACATGATTTTAGGATTAACAGAGGGGTTGTTGTTAGGAGAGTGTGGGATTCAGGAAGGCACAAAGAGAAATAAGAGAAAAAATATAGAGAGAAAAGCAAGATGAAAGGGAGAGTAGTTATACTAAATTTACACATAGTTACAGATTCAGCGACTCTTGCTTCTCATCATTCAGTTGAACTTTATTCATTGGCCATTCAATCAACATACATTATCCACCAATCAAGCCAGACAAAACAGCCTAGATGTAAATTAAGGGCTGGTTTGTTCTTCAGAATGGAAAGGAACTCTTCTTACAAACATTGTCAAGAATGCACTTACTTGGAATTTGATCCTGCATGCTGCTCTGGTTGAAACTAAAGACTGAAACTCAATACAAGATTTAGGTCTCTGGCTGCAGAGCCAGAGGTTGGGAGTTCAGTTCCCCCACTGTGCCTCCTTGACGGGGGCTGGACATGATGATCTATAGGGTCCCTTCTAGCTCTGTGGTTCTGACATTATTATTTATTATGAAAGAGAGTATGATTGTTGCTCTGGTTCTGTTATCCACTTGTATTGATTGCTTAGATACACCAGCATTGCTGCAACTGAACCATCAACATACTAGAGGATTTTTTTGGTCCACATTTTTAAGTGAACCATCTTAACTAAGTTGCATTTCCTGGGCTAACATGGAGATCAGGACGCAGTAACCCCAAAGGCAACATTCTTCTATGAATTTTACAATGTTGTTCTCAGTTTCACAAAAATATCTGGGAAAATTGCACATACATACAAAATAAATTCAAATGTTTATGGGGCTTTGCTTTAAAAACCATAGACTAATGCAGAAACTGGACATAGGAACGAATACAGATAAAACTGACACAGGCAAAAGAAGTGATTGATTAATCCATTTCTTGAAGTCTTTTCATGGTATAAACAAGTCAGACAATTTATATAATCATCATCATCTTGGAACTGCAGAGCTGGAAGGAACCCTATGGATCATTAAGTCCAACCCTTGTCTAGGAAGCACAGTGAGGAATTAAACTCCCATGCTACCTAAACCACTGAGCTATCCAGAAGTTCTCTAAGGAGGAAAGAGAAAAGTCAGTCTCAGGGAGGCTGTTGTTGCTGTATATGGCAACCAAAGAATCATTCAAGAATCTTTGTCTCTCCAGCACAGAGCAGAGTGAATGACTTTCCTTGCATGAGCCCTCTAGAACCTCTATATCTGATGGCAAAGATATCTGTTACAAGAGCAAGACATTTAGATAGGTACTGTATAGTTATGAAATGTGTAGATGTATATAGGTTGTCTGATGGCAAAGATATCTGTTACAAGAGCGAGACATTTGGATAGGTATAGTTATGAAATGTGTAGATGTTTATAGGTTTTAGTGCCTATTTGGAAAGACTGATCATGGTGACAACCAGGTTACAAAGCCAAAAACAAACTCACTTGTGGGGTCCATCAGCAGCATTCAAAATCAGAAGGGAGTACTGTAATGCCTTTATTGACCCATTATATGCTCTTTATTGGAGCAATCTACATTTGCCAAGACAATCTCATTCCACCACATTTCAAGCCGATCCTTCAAGTTTAGTCTCCATCTTGGAATTTTACCTGCAGATACTGTAGTTTGACATCAGAATCCAGACAGGTTGATTTCTGAACTTTCCTATCTCTACTTCCTTCCCCTCAAACCCCAAGCATTGTAATGCTGAGCCTTGATGACAAGTCCTGAATGATTCTGGAAATTACCTTCTAAACAATATTCTAGTGGGCCAATGAAGGTATTACCCAACTTTGATTTCTGGTGGCAAAAGTTTTATAAATTTGCACAAGCTTGTAAAAGGTTAAAAAAGATGAGAGGAAGGAGGAGAAGGAGACTTACTTGCTCCGAACATCATCCATGGCTTCCAGTACTTCATCAAGTTCAGCTTCTAGCTGCTCCTTCTCATTATCAATGGAGCGGATCTCAAAGCTCAGTCTGTTCATATACTGGTCGTAGAAAAGTTTGATGTCCAAGTCAGAAAGAGAGTTGTCTTGTTCTCTCAAAAAGTTCCACCTTGTGAGCAGGACCTGATTGTGTTGTTCCAGACTCTGGACCTGTGGGTTATTAGCATACAGAGTAAGCTGAAGGGGACCTTAGCAATCTTCTTGCTCACCCATCTGATTCTCCAATATAAGAATTTCTATATCCAGAGTTCTTACCTACCGCCTGATCTGTGGTTTCTAACCTTGGGCAACCCAGGTATTCTGGGACTCCAGCTCCCAGAAATCTTCTTCTGTGCTGGCCGGGCTTTCTGGGCGTTGAGGTCCAAAAACACCTGGGTTACCCCAATCATTGCTCTAGATAAAGCGATAGAAACCCGGCCCTGATATTACACTTAAACATTGTGTCAGCAAAGCCATTTTGCAAATTTTTTATCATTTCCACATTTCAAAGTTAAATCTCCTAGATATGGCAGAGTTGGGGAGGGGTTATTTGTAATTTTTCTGGTTGTTACATGCTATCTTGGATCAAGTAACCTCCTACCTATTGTGCAACTGTGTCAGATGAGGATCTTGTGTTGTACATTTCCTGTAAGCACGTGCCAAGCAGCATATGCAGTGCTTACAGACACCTTGTTGGAAGTGTCAAAAATAATGCCTGGAACAATAAAGCTGTTGTTAATGATGACAACAAAATACGAACATAGTATCTTTAAATATTAATAGGACAGAAGTACACAATAGGTGAAATCTAGTAGTAAGTCACAACTAGAGTAAGTCCATTGGATCAATAAAACGTACATAGGTGTTGACTTACCAAATCCCTATTGATTCAAATGCACCTACTCTAGTTATGACTTACTACAGTACAGGATCTCAGCCAATATCTGTGTGGAAGGGAGGTCATGTTTCTGTTCAGGGAGATTCATATTTTCATTCTCCATCATGTGAAGTGGAACACATCACAAGCCAGTAAGCATACATACTTCTTAACAAAAATTGCGCCCTTAACCATGTTTGGATGCAAGTTTTGGTAGGAAACGTGTGGATCGTGCAAAATCTGGAAGCTGTGGCTCAAGTTCTGCTTTTAAGATACACATTTCAAAATATGTATCTGATATGTTTTTGTACCTAGGAACAATGGCAGAATGCTTGACGAGTCTGAAAATTCTAATCTGCATATCAGTGGAAGGTGTAAATCAGATCACTCCATACTGCAATTTCTGCTCTTGAGAGTCTTGACCTCTCTCTCTTGGTGCCTCCAGCTGAACCATGGAACCATTTTATAGTGGTTCCCCTTTAAATCCCTCCTCAAAATCCACATTTTCCATGAAGCTCCTTAATCTCTTTAGTTCTTCACATTTTTCTGCTGAAATTAACCCATATGGGCACGATTGAACTTATCCATATTTTTCCATGCCCATATTGGATGCCCTTTGAATTGAATTTCAGATTGTAAGTTCCAGGTGTCAAAGGCCTGTTTTCATGTTGTTATTTCAAATCGGAATTGACTTATAGTGACCGTAATAGGGCTTTCAAGTTAAGTGAGATATTTAAGGAGCCATTTTCCTACTTCCAATTCCCCACTGAGATTTCAGGGCCAAGTGGAAATTCAAATCCTGTTCTCCAGAATCCTCGTTCATCATTCTATCCAATAATTACAATTAGCCAAATTTGGTAAGTTTAGGGGCCACTTTTCTGCCACAAGACACACTTCCAAGGACCTTACAGACCAAGAAAAATATCCAAATGTGCCAAAGATAGATAGAAACCAGAAATATATAAAAAGTTAACTTCCTGTTTGGAAAAGATGGTGTTTTGGGATGTTAAACAGTTCAGTAGGACCATGTGACCTGTTTAAAAGTTTAATTATCATTCCTGGAAACTTTCAGGAGCTGCAATCCATCTTTTCTTGCCAGAAAAAAAAAAACTGGCTAAGGACTGAGACTCAAACAATGACAGCATTAGAGGACGAAACACATATCCAGGGCGGAAATTTGCCCATTCCTGCAATGAATGTATAAATAAGCAAGCAACCACATATTATGTGAGCTGCCCCCATTAAATACATATTTTTGCAAAAGGGAACCCATTCTTTATAGAAGACAGAGTCCACATGTTTTCATGGAAGCCCCACAGTGATAAATGTATGCCCAAATGAACTCACAGAGGACTGCACCCACAGTGATAAATGTATGCCCAAATGAGCTCACAGAGGACTGCAGTCACATAAAAGGCAGGTAACTATGAGTAGCAGCTGAAGTGAATCAGAGCCTGCCCTGCATGTTGTGGGAAGAAAACAAATAACAAGCTACTGTCAATGTTTGTAGGTTTGGAACCAAGAGGGATAAGGGATTGGGGAACTAAAAAAAACCTGATACAACCATCACCACTACCACCAGGGCATTTTCATCCACCCATTCTCTTTCACCCCACTTGTGCAATGTTCCCTCTGTTAGCTCTGTAATCAAGAGCCAAGGCAAAAAGAAGTAAACCTGGCAAAGAATTCAGGGCAGGGGCAGAAAGTGAGTATACGCTAGAGAAAATCCAGAGGTCCCAACGGAGGCCTGGATGTCTACATTTGGCTTGAGAACAGGGACTCCCTGTCCCGATCAGACAGGGAAGGGCACTATTAAGAATAAATGACAATTCATTCTTAAGATTTCCTCCTGTTTTCATTTGTTTTTTGTTTCTTTTTAATGCAAGTTTTGCTTATTATGTTTTATGATGGCAAAAGAAAATAAGGCAACACATTGTACAATTTCAAAGGTTAACAGTTTTTATTTCAGGTTGAACATTTATGGGCCAGAATTCGTTTCCTCAGACACAGGAATGCAAATAAATGTCGTGCATATTTATACATATCCCATGACCAGCTGAGGATTATATGATCCACAAAACTGGAATAAGGCATTTAATCTTGGAAGAGTTATGATATTTTGACTTCTTTTCTTTTCTTTTCACCAGTCTGCTGAGACAAGTGGCTATTTCTTTGGAAACAGCTGCATTTTATGAAGGACCTTTAAAATTCATTAAGCCATTTTGCCAGGGTTTTTTAAAATTAAAATTATTTTTTAATAATTCCCAGAATAGCACATGGAAAACAAATTTATCCATTGAATCGCTTGACAGAAAGTTGCCCAGACTTTCAAACTCTGAGATTACAAGAGATGTGGTGGCATCTTTTCCCAAAAGAGTGGTATCAGAAGTATCAGAAATCATTTCTAGGGACATATTTGGCACACTTTCCTCAATAGGACACAGACAAAAAGACTATGGCTTATTTTAGTAGTTTCATTTATTCATCTCCTTATTGAAGTTGCAGAGAATGAGAAGGAATGAGAAGGGGGGAGAGAAAGCAAACATAAATTCAGACAGCCCTTTGTGGGTGAGAGCAAACCATCCATGGCTTCCAGCCACACAGGGATCTGAGCATACCTGCACCAGCAAACCATCCATGGCTTCCAGCCACACAAGGATTTGAGCATATCTGCAGCCACACTGAAATGTGTGGTAATTGTGGTGGTCTAGCAAAGCATTATGCAGCTGAGTATCAATGATGACTGTTCTCGGTCCACAGTGAGTTTGCAAGTGCCTTCCCTGCCTCAGTCCACGACAAGGAACATATTGGTTCCTGGAATCCAGATTGACACCTGCTTCAGCCCAGAATGTGAAGGAAAAAGCTTCTTATCCTTTGAATGCCTCCTAAAGCTTAACCTCCCAAAGAAATTAACCAAGCACAAAACTGAAAACAAATGATTGAGTCACCTGTAATCCACAGGATTATAGCCATAGGCTCTCAGGCAGAAACTGAATACTGTATTAGTCTAACGAATAGTTGACTAATATAGATGCAAACACATTTTAGGAAACATGGCACCCATAAAGCCACTCATAGATACAGCAAGAGGTGTCTACACTGGCCCCAGTTGTCTGGCAAGGAGGATGCCCAGCAGCCTCTGAACAGATACCCTCTGCTTGTAGTTCGGTGAAGGGAAGATGAGGTAAGACTTCTTCCACCTGTTTTCTCTTCTCCTCCAACCTGCGCTGCAGGTGAAAGGAAATCCGGTCTTTCTTGGCTTGCTCAAGGCCTTGTGGGAGAAAACGAGATCTTGTCTCTCTTGCAACCCGGTTTGGATGAAGATCAAACCCTTGGGAGAAACTGCTGCTCCCCCCACTTCTCCAAATCTCTGTTGAAAGAGCTTCAGAGACAGATTACGAGTTTTCTTCCCACTTGTAAAATGTAAAAATAGCAGAAGTTTATCTTGCTGTTTCTTGCCTTATCAGAAGCACCACATAAGTGGAAAAAAAGACCCTGCCTTTCTCTTCTTGCTTGAAAAAGGGGCAGAATCTTCTCTTGCTGTTTTTTTCTTCCAGAGTTATTACTTAAAATATTAACAGTCCACCTTAAAAGTGAAAGCCTCTTTTGCAAGGTGGCTCACAATAATAAAAAAATCAGTAACCCCCAAACAAATACAGTACTAGAATTAACAACTAATAGGAGACAGGGGCAAAATTTAGACCACCATCTCATTTGAGCTTGTTTGGATTTTGCTATATTTTTATGTATTTGTTAATATTCAGAATGGAGAGAATATGACAGTCAAGACCTCCCATCTCTAAGATGTTTCTCACCAAAGATAAATCTCAGAGTTCTGTAGGATGAAGCAGTTACAATTAAAGTCATATCAGATGGCTGTAGCTGTGTAGCATAAATACACTTTGAATGGGGGAAAAACCAGGTCCAAGAATTTCAATTCTGGATTCGAATCCTGGTGATTTTCACCATGTTGACAATGAATTAGGTCATCTCATTTTTTTTCCTGAGACATTCCTAATCTTTATAGTATATATAGCAGACGAGTGCGACACAGCTCTTACTAGGCTGAGAATAGCTGTACTTCTTGAATTTCACCAATGAAAATGGGGGAGAATTTTGTTTGGAGGTTTGTCTTTGAAGGCTTTAGCAAAATACTCAAGTCATATCTTTGGAACAGAAAGAACCTGAGATTAAAAAAAAGTGAATTCAGGAGAAACCATCCGAAATAAACTGTGAGAATACAGTTCTCTTTGCTGCCTTTTTATTTCCAAAATATATACAAATAAATGTTGTG